AGAGAAGGGAGGAAAGATAGCAGGAAGAGTGAAGAGAGGGGAAGAGGAGTGGAAGGAAAAATGAGAACGATGGGGAGAAGAGGCAGAAAAGGAAATAGGAATGGTCGAAGGAAAGAGGAGAGGAGAGAGAGAATAGAGGAGGGGTGAGTGTGTGTAAGATAGAAAGATATAAAGACTGATATATAAACAGATATATGTAGAGTCAAAGATAAATATAGATAAATAGATATGAGAAAGAACGAGAGTGAGACGCGAACATACAAACGAATGAGAAACCCTGAGGGAAAGTTGATAAAGCAACAGACAAACCCTGAAAAAAATAGAGAAAGATAGATAGAAAGATAAAGAGATAGAGAGAGGAGGCAGCACGAATAGCTTAGCAAAGCCGTACGTGACAAGTATGCAATTGAATCCTCTGTCCTGAACCCTCCGCGGCGCCCGTCTGAGGTGCAACGTCTGCATAAATTATTGTAGAATCAGGATACTAAGACGCAGGCCACACGTTGCAAGCGCTGCCATTGCAACTCCTCCAGCAAATCACACCGAGAGAAAGCTATTACACTGAGCTATCATCCCTAACACCGTGTTTTGTCTATCTTCGGCTGTCGTTATCTTCTTCTAGCCTCGGATTTCACAACGGGTATGTGAACGAGCAATTCCTCGAGCCGCCACAACCTACGAGGGATGTGAAGGAACTGTGGCGCGGCCTGGTCTTTTGGGTTTGTCTTTTTTCTATTTCATTTCTCTGTGCTTTTCGAAATCTGGAATCGAGGTACCCTGGGGCTTGTGTGGTATGCTGTCTACATGCTGCGCGATTCTATATTTAGCAGCGTAATCTGTGATGATAATCTGCAACAGCAATACAAGCACGTTCGTCTGATCTATCCTAAAAAAAGGATTTTTCTCTCTTACATCTTCGCCCACTCATATTACGGGGAGACACACACACACACACACACACACACACACACACACACACACACACACACACACACACACACACACACACGCAACACACACACACAACCCCCCTTCCACACACATACAAACAGACCCCCCCCCCTACACACACCTTCCCAAATCAAAAAAAACGGAATCGAGACTCGACCCCTTCCTCGCTCTCTCTCTCTCTCTCTCCCCCGCGGAAGTGTGTCATGGCGGCCAAAATAAAACAGGGGACATTTTGGTGTTGGCAGGATCGCCCCCCTTCTCTCCCCCCCGCCCCCTGCGCCCCCTGAGTCCACTCTCGCCTCTGCCAGCACCCCTGCCAACACCCGGTGCCAACGTTGTCCAGAGCTCCGTTGCATGACGAGGCTGGTTGAAGCGCTGGCGGGAAATTTGAATGACAGCAGCGGCACTTGGTCATGGGGTCAATAATAGCGATGATGATGATAATGATGGGGATTGTGAAGATGGTGAGGCCATTATTATGAAGATGATGATGGACGACGATGATGGTGATGATGAATTGATAATAATAGTAATAATGATAATAAAAATAATAATGATATAACAACATAATATAATAATAACATAATAATAATAACAATAATAATAATAACAGCAACAAAAATAATAGTACAGATGATTATCATGATGATGATAAAGATGATGATAATAATAATTAATAATAATAATAATAATAATAATAATAATGATAATAACAACAACAATAATAATAGTAATAACAAAAACAATAATCATTATAACAAGAATAACAATACTAATAATGGTTTTAACAATGACGTTGATGGTGATGAAGTTCGTGAAGAGGACGACGTCCAGAAGATTCCAAACTCTCTGAAGGCATTTCGAGTGACGTCACAACAAAACCTCTGTTGGAAAGCAGCGTCAGGCCAAGAAAGTGATCTACGCCACTTCAGTGTCTTTGCATTTAATACCGAGAGAGTAAATAGCTTTGCTCTCATTTGATTAAGAAAGAAAAAAAAAATATATATACATTTTTTAAATTATTTTTTTGTGGGGGAAGGGGGAATCAGTGTCAAAGGTGTATGGAATGTAAAGATTTATAATCACGTCATTATTGATGTATATCATATCCTGAGGCAGGCTTCCAAAAATCATCAACGGACATATGAAAAAAATTATCTTAATCATGTCTTATTACCAGTATTGCACATTTGCTCTTCATTAAGCGGAGCAACAAATCAACGTGACCTCTATCATTAATTCCACAAGTGGCAACTCGATCCCTTCATGTCACGTGGGCGTTATCGTGCATCTTCGCACGCCAAAGCTGTAACAGCTATTCTAACAGATACTTGTTACAGCTGAGATTATAAAGGCAAGGTAGACAAGATCCGAATGAAGTCTCGTTTCGTAAGTCTAACGTAAGAAGAGATTGAAGCCAATATCGAAGTCAAGTGGAGGCTTGTCGACTCGAGTCACTTTTCTTGGAAATCTCGGATGCTACCAACCAACCTGGCGGTTTTCTCGGCCTATATTTTATCAAGGTAGTCACACAAAACGTGATTATGTTAATCTCTGAACTACCAGTACAAAGGAACGACGAGGGAAAGGAAATTACGTAGACTGGGAAAAAAATGGTTGGTGAAAGACGAACACCGCTTCATTTTGGCGGGAAATTTCATGCCGCGGGATCACGTGTTACAAAAACTAGAGCGCGACGTGTATTCAAACCTTTATATCTCGAGTCATTTCCTCTGCACGATAAAGAGGACCACACCTCTGTGGGGAGACAGGGAGAGGGGAAGATGGAGAGAAAGACAGGAGATGGAGATGGAGGAAGAGAGG